ATGGGGTGTCCAGACGTATGAGCCAAGCTTCCCACTTCACACTCCCTTCAAAGCCACTGCCTAGTACACAGCAGACTCTCTTAGGCTTGGTTGAGTGGAGTCCCTAACATACTTGGGGGGTCGGAATCAATCTTTTAAATTGAGATTAGGCTAATTATTTCTCAAAATCCCTTTACATGTCCTCTTCTCCCTTCCTAATGTGCTGTGGGTTGGAAATTCATTGGGGCAGGGGTGAAGGGTCTGTCGGACATGGTCGCCTGGAAGAAGGGGAGAAGGACCCCGCACCATCCCCGCCTGCTTACCCAGCGAGCCCTGCTGGCCCATGGGGTCCTCGTGCTTGAAGGAGTGGTTGGGGAACTGCGCCGCGTGGTGGGAGGGCGTGTGACCATAGTTGGGCGTCCCGTCGAAGGTGACTGTGCTGTATCCTGCGGGAGCGGCGGAGGGAAGCACAGTGTCAAAAGGGAGACGCGGTCCATAGGTCCGAACCAGAACCGCTGCGGAGGAGCGCCCCACCGCGCCTTGGGATCCCACCCATCTCTAGGACTTGGGCGGGAAGATGGGCCCAGGGCCCCGAGGTGACGTCGCATAGGTCCGAACCAGAACCGCTGCGGAGGAGCGCCCCGCCGCGCCTTGGGATCCCACCCGACTCTAGGACTTTGGGCGGGAAGACCGGCCCAGGGCCCCGAGGTGACGTCTGGACCGGGACCGTTCTCTGCTCTATCCCAAGTAAAATTCGGATCTCCCCACCGTTTCCCAGTTTATTTATGCCCTTGCCTTCCACCATGACTGCGGCTTCTGGACCGAACCTCCCGCAAGGAAGTATGAAAACCGCCAACCATTCGGCGAAGCAAGTTGCTCTCCCCCAAACCAGACACCGCTCTCGCGCAGGGGCAGCGCGGGCGAGCGAAATGAATCTGCTCGGCTGACCCCGCGCTGACTCCGAGCCGTAAATCAGGGGCCGCACCAACTTTCATTAATTACTCAGGGCCAGTTAACGGCATGGGCTTTAAATGGGGAGAGTAATTGCCGAGTAATGGTATCTGTCTGAGGCCGAGCGGCCTGACACCATGACACCTAAGGCCCTGGGGAAAGCTAGCGGGGAGGAAAAGAAGGGGCCCTTCCAGTTGGGCCCGCAGGCCTTGGCCCTGCCTCCTCCTCCTTCCCTTCTGCATGGACCCACCTCTGCTCCGGTGGGTCCGACTCTGACCACCACTGCGGGGACCAGCTTCCTCGTGCCCAGGCCAGAAACCCTGTTTCTTTTCGTGTCCCTGACACTGTACCTCAACCTCACGACAGTGCACGAGTACTCTGCCTCAGTTTCCCTGCAAGGAAATTGAAGCTAACACCGCCCGTGTTCTTGCCCAACTCTCCAAAGGTAAGAATTAAAATAATCGTGGTGTCTCAGTTGGAAAATATAGCCTCCTTCTATGATTATTGTTTTTTAATTGCTTGAAAGATAGGCCCCAATCGCTTCTGGAAAAACTGTTGCCACCTCGAGGAAAAAAGTATCTATGGCTAAGAAAAGGATCAGTCCTTAGGACCCTGAACCCAACGGTAGGGGCCTCCTATGTCAGGAATCTCTGGCGTGAGGTCAAGACCAAGTGAGGAATGAGATTAGCCCAGACACTCCTATCTGCTCCCTGTAGGACCACCACCGGTCCAGTTCCCCCAACCCCAGCCACTGCACTGGGTCAAATGGTCCCCATTGCCCCACTCTTATCCCAGGCATGATCCCTCTGCAACATGTGTCCTAGAAGACAAGCTGGACAGAGAAAGGAGGCCATTACCCCCATCTTTGAAACACCCCCGCCCCCACAAACGGAAACCGAGCTTCCAGGGGCCCACTCGGGAATGTGGTGTGTCAGAGTGGGAGGAAGGATTGGGGCAGGTCTTAATTACCAGATTGTACAGATCAGGCCAAGTCTTCTGCACCAACTGGCACCACGGGTCTACAACTTAAGAAGCCACCAGATTCTATAACTTGCGTGACCCCAGAGGCCTCCATTTCTCGCCTGCTAAGTGGACAAAGATAACCCCCGCCCCGTTAGCTGTCAGGCGTGGGTGAGCACGCTTGGGCTTCCAGGGCACTTCCTTTTGGGAGCGGAGGCCAGGCTCCGTTAGAGGCCTACCGCTCAGCTTACAAACGAAATTTGGCTCTGAGCAGTGAAGTTTGCAGAGGAAGGGCTGAATTTTTAAAGGAAAAAAAAATTTCTTTAAATAAAAGAGAAACCGAAGCGACAAAGAAATTGCCTCTTCTCGAACCCTTCTCCATTCCTGAGCTGGAGTAAGCATTGAACTGAGGCACCGTGCTGTCCTCTGAGGCGGGCTCAGCGATGTAGATTAGCCGCAAGGGCTACGGGTTGCGGGCTGCAGCGTCGCCTCCATACCGTGCGAGGCTCCTCGGGGCCCCTCCCAGACAGGACACGCACAAGCTGGTGGGCAGGAGCCGGCCTCCAACCCCCTTTCTTTAATTCCCCCGGGAAGGGCGGTGGTGAAAGCTGGAGCCGAGGGGAGGGAGGGCTCTTTTAATTAGAAGCTTATCGGACGCGGGACTGATTAGAGCGCGTTGTCCTGAGGCCTCGCGCAGGATCTGGCGGCGGGGAGCGCGGGGGCGGGGGAGACAGCTGCCGGCAGAAAGGGGCAGCGTGTTCAAAGGCTCCTTGTACTACTTCTAAGGACCCTAGAGGAAGACACTCCAGATTCCAAGGTAGCCCCTTTCCCACGGTTAGTCTTAGCCCGGAAGAGAGTGCAACCTTGACCGCCTGTGCCTTCCTCCTCCGCCCTAGGCAGCGGAGGAGGAGCCAGGCAACTACCTGGTTCGGCCAGCGGCCAGCGGCCAGCGCCCCCACCCCACATCCCGGAGCTGTGGGGTGCAGTGGACGGCAGGCAGTCAGAAAGCTGATATTGATGAAGCTGCTGCAGGATGCGGGGAAATCTGTCCCACAACGAAACACCCTTTTTCCAATGCGACCCAAGGAGGGTGCCCCTGACCCTTGGGCCAAGCTGGTCTCCCCAGTGACCCCTAGGGTGGCTGGTAATGCCAAGGCCTCCTCTTGTGCTATAGTTTGGCGCTCCAGTGGGGCTTGAGGAATAGGCCTGACAAAAATCTTTTTTTCCCTTCCCCAAACCCCACACTCAATCTGGGACTACCCAAGTCGTCGCCCCACTTCTGCCCTGGCAAAACTCCCAACCCTCACGCACTAACTACAGTGGGTTCCACACCCATCCAGCAGGACAGAGAAAATTCATGTCAACAGTGAGCCAAGATCCCTGGAAAAGTAGGTAGAAATAGCCTAGAATGGTCTGGATTTGAGTCCCAGCTCTGCCACAAACTGAGACCTCTTGCACAACTAATTCCTTAGTGTCTGCCATGATGAAGTGACCGCTTGAGCTAAAACGGACCCACAATTAATCACTTTGAACCCAAATTTCCTTATCCAAAAATAAGGACTCCTCCAATGTCAGGCTGTCAGGTTCTGGCAAAAGTTGAGGCGCATGGTCTTAATATTTAATTTCCAGTGCCTGGCATTGGTATAGAGTAGGTGCTCAGTAAATGTTTGCTGAACTAATGTTCAGAAGTAAGGTTAGGACATCAGGTATAAATGTTTTTAAGAAATAGACAAAAACGGGTGGAGAGGAGGTGAGAGGCTGCCAGCAATTGTCCTCTCTTGAGGACCATGGTTAGGCTGCCCTATTTGGGGACCGGGATCCAGGTCTTTACTCTTCTCCATTGGAGTTTGGCCTGGGCCTGCTGATGGCCATTCCTACACTTTGGGGAAGGAACTGATGCCCTTGCTTCCCTCAGCCCAAACCTCTTACTAGGCCCTACATTCCTGGAAGAGCCACAGAAACCCCGGAAGTCAAGAGAATAAATCCAGAATCTCCAGGCCTCAGGACCCACCCAGGGCCAACATCAGGGCTGAAGCTGGAACAGCTTCTGACATCTCACCCCAGCTCCCAGCTGCCAAATGAGTCCCAAGAGGTCAGCCAGTGCCCCATTTATGTTTTCACTGTAAGAGAAAAACTTAAGCCCAAGGACAGAACTGAGCTTATAGGCTGTGGTCCAGGTCTGGGGCCAACTCTCCACAGAGCTTTTCCTCAGGGTGGGGAGAGGGACCTACTTCACCTTCTAGTCAGTGGTGTGTTCCCAAACCTTTTCCTTTTGGCAGCCAGCCTAGTACCAGGGCTGTTGGCCTCCCCATCCCATGCTGAGTTGATGGGATCCTGGGCAACAGACCTGCCCTGCAGAAGGCTGGACACGGGCCCAAACAAAGCAACAGAGCCCAAATTCCAAAAATCCTCACAGTACCTAGATGGACTCCATGATCATGGTGCAATAGTATTTTGCTGTTGGGAGACTTAAATCAGTGGATTCTCAGGCCGCTCCACATAGCACACATCTACACAGGAACGCAACTCACATCACACACCTGCCTGCCAGTCTTGCCAAGAACAGACCAGTCAAGTTTTAGGTGGGCTGCTCTACCTTCTGTGTTTAGAACCCCTAGCCCAGGGAAAGTCAGGCTTCCGCACAGATCATCAGGCCAGATCCAATTCCCAGGTTGTCCATCTCGACTCCTCTCTTACAGATGGGGAAACTGAGACCTGTGGATTTGCCAAAGGTAACACTAGCCTGCTAAATAGAGGTGGCAAGCAGGCGGAGAACAGGAGCCTCTAAGAGGGACACTGAGTTATTCCAACACCCCGTGAGTCCAAAACACTAATTTCATTTCTGAAATAGCTAGAGTGGAGGACCCCTCAAGGGTCAAGGATCACAGATTCCCCTGAGGAAAAGAGGAGGTCTGTTTCACTTTCGCCAGGTGCTCCCCGCTGGGCTACTGAAGGAAGAGACCTCCTAGAGATAAGGACAGAGCCCTTCTGCCTTGGGAGCCAGCACCTCCTGCAAACAGTACACACTCTGCTTCTAGCACTCCACGCATTCCAGAAACAACCCAGTCTCTAAACCCAGGGAGAAATTTTGCTCCAGGAAAAGCATTTGCCACTGCGTTTGTAAAGTATTTCCTAAAATATCGAATCCACCCGAATTGGTTTAGGTTCTCAAACAGTGCAAAAATAACAAACAACAATTAAAATAAATTTAGAAACCAAACTACAAGGGCGGGGCCCAATTGATTCAGCGCTGGTGGGGAGAAAGACGTGTGCGGGCGCCTGTGCGGGGCGAGAAAACTACCTTCTGTGCCCCTCGATGTACAATGACTGAAAACAGCAAACAAACCTGTCCTTGTTACAACCCTCAAGTCTTGCAAAAATCTCCCCTGGCTAAGCCCCGCGTTCATTGACGAAGAGGCGCCCGAAGCTCGGGCCTCATCTCATTGCCTATGATAGGACCCGGTTCCGCACAGCTCGGACAAACGGGGTTTCCTAACCCTGGAGCCCGCGTGGCCGCCACCTGAGCTGGAACCAAGGGGAGATCCGCTTCCATGCTAACTAGCATACGCGGGAGCCATACGCAGACAATGACGAAGTTCCAGGAAAGCCACCGGTTAGTTGCTAGTCCTTTCCCTTATTCAATCTCGAGCTCCATGACACCTATTGTGCGTCTAAAGTGCCAACTCCGTGTTAAGGACTAGAGCAATTCCTGGACATTTTGGTGCGGAGGAGGCAAGCACCGGATGCTCATCCAGTGCTGGTCCCACTCTGGAATCCAGTCTAAATGTCTGAAAAGTCCAATGCCAGGTGACAGTTTGGTGGTGCCTGGAGCGACAAAACCTCTTCCGAGGCACAGCCAGAGGCTGCAGCCCCTTCCCACTCCCAAAGGGACTCGCAGCCCCGGAATCTTCAGGGGTCGTGGGGGCCCCAGATGACCTCCCGGCTCATGCGAACAGACCGTTTCCGAAGGATGTCAGGAGCCCAAACCGGCGCGAACTCCCTCTCCCGCACCTCTGCTCCCCCAGCCGCTGCTTCCGCTACCCTCAGAGTCTTTGGGGAGGCAGCTGGTAAGAGCTGGGGTCAGGGAAGGGGCTGGACAGAGGACTACTCGCGCTCGACGACAGCCCCCTCGCCACCGCCCCAAGTGTAGGGGGCGCTCCCCGGCCTGCTTACCCTGGTTTCGAATCGCGGGCTGGCTCTCGAGGCAGCTGGGCAGGTAGGGCGCGTTGGGGAACATCCTGGCCTGGCCGGAGGACGCCTGGCTGGGCGGAGGAGGACCGAAGGGTCCGTAGCGACAGGCTCCAGCTGTGCCGGTGAACTGGCCGGAGAAGTGGACGGTGAAGGCGCTCAAGCACTGCTCTTCGTGCGGCTCCGCACCGCCCCAGCTCGGCTCCTGTTTGATGAAGGAGTGAGGCGGCGGCGGCGGGGGTGGTGGCGG